AAACTGAAAAGGAGCACCCTTGAACAATTTTTAGGGGAGGTAGGTAGGGCTGCTCCTTGGTTTGCAACCTTGGGCCATCTCAACTTACCGTTGTGGGATAAGTTAGGTAGAGATCTCGATTTTGCATTCGAGCAGGGAACATTGAAAGGCGGGGTTAGACCGGTTTGGAAGCTGGTACGAAGCTGCCTGAGTGATCAGAGATGCAGTGCAGCGGTGGAAAATGGACGGGCGGCATTGGAAGGGCTACAAGAGGAAAGATCTGAAAAGGCAACATCTGAAAAAATACATTCAGGCAAGGATCCTGGAAAAGGGAGAGAAAAATTATATCCCAGCCTTTCCGAATTAGATGAATCTGATAGCCCTAGTGTCAGTCAGTCCGAGAGAAGTAGTGAGAGTGAGGATGATCAAGCCTTTGAACGGATAAAACTGCCGTAAAAGGAGAATGAGGAAAGGCTATAAACATAATACTGAAAGGGATCCCACTCCCACGGCTCCTCCTCCCTATGTGGAGACTAGAGGGGCTGCGGCAGGAGGCCCTTTTACACCCGCTGGAGGAAATTCCTTTAATCCTGCAGTATGGAGAGAGGTCAGAACAGAAATGATAACTCAAGGAGGGACAAGAATAATGGTGGCTTTTCCAGTCTTCCAGGATCAGTAAGGGAAATAGATACCATGAATTATTGGATTTTAAAACAGTTAAGAATCTAGCTGAATCTGTCCGGACATATGGCATTACAGCCTCCTTTACCATGGCCCAGGTGGAATCTTTAACCAGATTTGCTATGACACCCACTGATTGGGCAAATGTTGCCAAAGCTTGTTTGTCCCCTGGACAGTATTTAGAATGGAAAGCTTTCCTATTTGAGTTTGCACATGCACAGGCCGCTATAAATCAGGCCGCAGGAGGACCCCAGGCAGTCTGGGTTGCAGACATATTGTTAGGACAAGGCAGATTTGCTAATAATCAAAATGGATATCCAGATCAAGTATATGAACAGATTAATCTATCGCCATCCGAGCCTGGAAGGCAGTACCTAACAAAGGAGAGGTGAGAGGAAATTTAACAAAAATTATTCAAGGTCCTACTGAGCCTTTTTCTCTTTTTGTGGCACGAATAATGGAGGCTGCAGGTAGGATATTTGAGGATTTGAACTCTGCTCTGCCCATGCTAAAACAATTGATTTATGAACAGTGTACAAAAGAATGCAGAGCCACCATTAACCCACATAAACATAGAGGAATAGAGCAGTGGATGAGAGTATGTAGGGAACTGGGAGGGCCATTGACAAACGCAGGCCTTGCTGCAGCAGTACTGAGGCTGACTAGAGGCAGAAGTTCCGCTAATGGGGTCTGCTACCGCTGCAGCAAGCAAGGGCATTTAAAACACAATTGCCCTCTGAGGAGTGGAGCACCACCTAGCAGCATGCCAGCAGTAGCACAAGAGTCGCGACTTGGCCCCGGGGTGTGCCCCAGATGTAAAAAAGGGAGGAATTGGGCCAATGAGTGCAGATCAGTGAAAGATATTGATGGACGGCCTCTTCATGCTAGGCCAAAAAATGGACAGCAGGGCCCCCGGTCTCAGGGCCCGCAAATATATGGGGCAATGGAGACACAGAGAGGGATAGAGAGCCACGAACAGTGGCCAATTTTCAGACACCCCAAGGACCGCGGAGAGCCACTGCAGGTTCAGCAGGATTGGACCTCTGTGCCACCGCCAGACTTGCACTAACTCCCCAAATGGGAGTTCAAACAGTGGACTCTGATTTTCAAGGCCCTCTTCAGCCTGGCACGGTGGGGCTATCAATAGGGAGATCATCTACTACCCTAAGAGGTCTACGAATTCACCCAGGGATAATTGACCCGGATTATACAGGTGTTGTTAAGATTATGGTGGAGTCGCCAAAAGGCATCTCAGCAATATCCCCAGGAGATAGAATAGCTCAGTTTGTTATTCTCCCAAGCATGCATGAACAACACCCTGCTAGGGAAGTGGAAAGGGGAGACAAAGGTTTCGTCTCGTCTGGAGCTGATCTCACATTTTTGTCATTAGACCTTGACCAAAGACCTACATTACAACTGACCATTAATGGAGTACAGATTATGGGTCTGTTGGACACTGGAGCAGACAGAAGTATTGTAGCCAGTAAGGACTGGCCAAAAGGATGGCCTGTTCAGATGTCTACTCATACGTTGCAAGGCCTGGGATATTCCAGTGCTCCCAATATGAGTGCTAGCTGCTTACAGTGGAAAGACAATGAAGGTCATTCTGGAACAATACAACCATATGTATTAGAGCTTCCTGTATCTTTATGGGGTAGAGATTTATTAAAAGATATGGGGTTTAAATTAAGCAATGAATATTCCAATACTGCCCAATACATGATGAGAGATGGGAAGTCACCCTAATTATGGACTAGGAAAATTTCTTCAAGGACACAAAGAGCCTGTTAAGACAAAGCCTAGAGAAAAGAGGAAGCGCCTGGGTTTTTCCTAGGGGCCACTGGGGATGGAATTCCTATTTCCTGGAAAACAGAAGAGCCGGTATGGGTTCCTCAGTGGCCACTTTCTTCTGAAAAATTGCAAGCAGCACAGGAACAATTAGAAGCAGGACACATCAAACCTTCTCTTTCTCCATGGAATACCCCTATATTTATCATTAAGAAGAAGTCTGGTAAATGGAGGCTCTTGCATGATCTGAGGGTCATTAATGAACAGATGAAAGTCATGGGACCCATCCAACGTGGCCTTCCACTTTTATCAGCTTTACCAGCAGACTGGCCCATTATAGTTGTAGATATAAAGGATTGTTTTTTCTCCATTCCATTAAAACCCTGGATAGCGATAGATTTGCATTTACTTTGCCTTCCATCAACCATGAGGAACCAGATAAAAGGTACCAATGGACTATATTGCCACAAGGTATGGCCAATAGTCCTATGATGTGTCAGATTTTTGTGTCAACCGCCCTAGACCCAGTCAGAAGTCAATTTCCTGAAATAAGATGCCTTCATTATATGGACGACATTCTTTTAGCTGCAAGGAAGGAGCCTGTGCTGCAGGAAACTTATGCTGTCCTAGCAAATAACTTGAAGAAAAGGGGATTATCTATAGCCCCTGAAAAGGTACAACATGGTGAAATAGTAAGCTATTTGGGCTCGAAAATAACACATGACCACATTGTGCCACAAAAGATAAAATTTAAAAAAGATCATTTGCATACATTAAATGATTTTCAAAAATTGTTGGGAGATATAAATTGGATCAGGGGCAGTTTGGGCATGGCAAATTACGAGTTAAAACCATTGTATGACATTTTAATTGGCGATGTAGCTCTCTATTCTCCCAGACAATTAACCAGTGAAGCACGACAAATACTCTCTCTTGTAGAGGAAAAATTATCTAAAGCCTTTTTAAAATGGGTGCAAGCTTAAAAAGATATTGCTTTATGCATTTTACCCACTAGTCTGCAACCCACAGGTATTCTGTGGCAGGAAGGACCATTACTTTGGATTCATTCCAAGATTTCCCCTGCAAAATCCATAGAATATTATCCTATTGCTGTCGTTTCGCTTGCTGAGCAAGGCATTCAAGCTTGCCTACAACATTTTGGAGTTGCACCAGATGTAGTAGTCACCCCATCTAATACTAATCAAATTAATATTTTATGTGCCACTAGTGATGATTGGGCTATTTTATGGTGCTCCTATTCTGGGCGCATCAATTGTCACTTTCCTAAGCATCCACTGTTAAACTTTTTAAAAGAACATCCAGTAGTCTTTCCAAAAATCACTGCCTTATGGCCCATTCCAGGAGCCAGCGTTAAATTTACAGATGGATCTAAAACTGTCTATGGTGCTTACATGGTGGACTCCGCAGAACCTGTTAAACATCAATTTTCTCCTGGAGCTCCTCAACAAGTAGAATTATTGATTGTGATTAAGGTGTTTAAGTCTTGCCCTTTCCCATTTAATTTAGTCTCTGATTCTTGTTATGTGGTAAATGCTCTCAGGCACCTTGAGTGCGCTGGACCTATAAAAGCCTCCAGTCCGGTGCATTCATTGTTTGTTCAGTTGCAGTTGCTGATTTGTCAGTGGAATCACCTTTTCTTTGCACAGCACATTCGTGCCCATACAGGATTACCAGGATCCATGGCTGCAGGTAACAACAAGGTCGATTTATACACCAGACAAAAATGGATGTTTCTTGCATCTGCCCTACAAAGGGCCCAAAAATTTCATAAAGAATATCATGTCAATGCCAAAACCTTACAGCATAAATTTGCCCTCTCTCGTGCTGATGCACATAAGATAGTTGTTGATTGTCCAAGCTGTGTGGTACATCACCATCCTCCTACGCTTGGAGTGAATTCTCGAGGTCTCTTACCTCAAAAGGTTTGGCAGATGGATGTTACTCATATTTCAGAATTTGGAACCCTAAAGTATGTACATGTTTGAGTGGACACCTGTTCTGGCATTATCCATGCCACACCTATGACTGGAGAAAAGGCCAACCATGTTATTGCCCACTGCCTAGAGGCTTGGGCAGCATGGGGTAAACCTTCTCAACTTAAAACAGATAATGGGCCTGCCTATACAGGACAAAAATTCACATCATTCTGCCAACGTATGGGTGTACAGTTGGTACATGGCCTGCTCTATAATTCACAAGGACAAGACATTATAAAACGTGCCCACAGGTCCTTGAAAGTGATGCTTCAAAAACAAAAAGGGGGAATAGGACATGCACAATCCCCAAGAATAGACTTTCTTTAACCTTATTTACCTTGAACTTTTTAAATTTGTATTGCTCCGCCCAATCAGCTGCGGACAGGCATTCCAATTGGTCTGGTCCCTCCAAAGGCTTGGTGCGTTGGAAGGATGCTCTGACAGGGGTCTGGCATGGCCCTGATCCCATGCTGGCATGGGCATGAGGTTCTGTCTGTGTTTTTCCACAGGATCATTTGGACCCTATTTGGGTACCGGAGCACTTGGTGAGAAAAGTACAAGTGCAGAGGAACGACAAGCAAGATGAAGCCTCCTACTGTGATCCTACTGATGGTGATGTCCCTGTTGCTGATCCAGGCCAATGAACAAATATTGTGGGCCATAGCAAAAGCATGGCCAATTCCTATACCTGTTCATTCTACGTCAAAAGTTTTACCAGTCTTTTTTTCCACTAGTTGTGAATTAGGCTTACCCTGCGTAAATTTAGACCCTAGCATGGCTATGTATAATGCAACTGATGTTCCTCTTCAAGGAGCTTTATGTTTTTCTCTTGAAAATAATTCTAACCCATGTATATGGTTGAAGAATGGCTCGGTGGGTAATTGGCTTGACCCGCTAACCGATAATCATGTTCCTCTCGCCATGCTCATGGAAGCACTGCGAACAATAAATATGGGTGCTTCCTCAGGCACAGGCAGCGGTAAAAACGGTGATACCACAAGTATTACTACCCTGTTAATGTTGATGGAAGGGCTTCAGCCTTCAATTCAAGTTCACGCTTTGGATTAGAGAATTCCACCGCGCGACAAGTGTTACCTTATTGTGCCCCTAATTTAGGGTACCCTCCTCATTGGACACCATGTCAAAGCCCAGACCATAGGTCAAAACAGATTGCACCAGGTTTTGAATTTACCCCTCCTTTAGGAAGATATTCCTTTAATCTTGCTAATCGGACTGATCAGAAAACCAATAAGAAAAATACCTGGCCCTGGTTTCAATGGATTCTTTCTCATGAAAGAGGGGCCTTTTCATCCCTAGAGCCTTTTGCTGCCCTTCATGATCTGACTGTTCGGCTACTTAACATCTCTGCCAGCAGAGATGCGAAGGGCGTTCTTTCAAATGTCACTATAAACAAAATGATGAACAATCTTATTGTTCCTGCCAGTCCAGTGTGCTTAAAGGCACCCTTCTTCTTTTTGCTGACCAATATTACCAATGCCACAGAGGATGTGATCTATTGCAATACCTCCAAGGCAACTTGCCTCGCAAGTCAATGCTTGGATGGTACTTATAACACAGCTGTGGTGATGAGAGTTCCACATATGTTCCCATCCCAGTCAGAGTTGATACCGGTACCTTCCCAATCGCTCATTTGCTCAGAACAAAACGAGACTTTGGGATAACAGCAGCCCTAGTCTCCGCAATTGCTGTATCTGCTGCAGCTGTCATGACAGCTGCTGTTGCCAATGCTGCAACAACTCAGATTGCAGAGACAGTTAATGAAATCGTGGAGAGAACAGCCTCCACAATGACCACTTTGAAATCCATCAATGGTCATTTAAAAGCTGGCATTTTGACAGTAAACCAAAGAGTAGATCTCTTGAAAAATCAAGTGGATGATTTAGTAACCTTAACCAGTATAGGATGTATTCATTCCCTCTCCTCTTTATGTATTACTTCCAGACTGGCTGAGAATTTTACACAGAACGGTAACCTGAGCTGGCAGCTGAGCGAATACCTCCAGGGAAAGTGGATGAGAACCTGACGGACACCTTGACCAACCAGATCATTTCCCTGAACGTCACACGGCTGGAATTACCTACTGCTAATGCCTTTCTCAATATGCTGAAATGGACTTTTAGTTATTTTAAGGAGTAGGCAGGAATAGGAGCCCTGACAGGCCTAAGGGTGCTTGCCTCCCTGGTATGTCTGTGGTGCATTTGTCACATGAGAACCTCACAACGTCACAATGCAGCCCTGATCATACAAGCCTTCATGGCTATTGAAGCAGGACAGTCCCCTCAAGCTTGGTTAACTACTTTAAAAGAGATGTAAGCACAGGATGCGAGGCTTGCGCACTGCACTTGAGGGTAATTACATCTACCTCAAGGGGAGCAAGTCTGATTGCATGTGAGTCAGTGCCTATGTCCCACCTCTGTAAAAAAGGGCACCAAGCGGGTCTAGTGTTTTCTGGGTGGAGGACACCTGGATAGACAATAGTACATGCTTCATTTTTGACAGAGATCAGACCTCTACTCTCGCTTGCTGCTTTGCAAAACAAAAAGGGGGAGCTGTGGAGAGCTGCGTGGAGCCGCACCTTGAAAATGGCGCTGTCTTCCGGCCCCCCGCATCCCGAAAGTGAGTGCTCTCCGGGGTAAACAACCCCCTATTTGGAGATGGTCAGGCTCTTGCGTTTTTCACCCGATGATCGTAAGATGCTTGTGTGTGTGTGTGTGTGTGTGTGTGTGTGTGTGTGTGTGTGTACCTATGGACAGTGCCTACGTGGTAATCCAGGGTTGGCGGCCCAGGCCTACTTAAGGGCTGGGAGGGGCTTGCCCTGGGAGAGAAGCGAGAGAAGAAGAGAAGCGATTTGTAAAAGGTCCTGAATAAAAACTGCGTGCAAGAAGAGTTCCGGTGTCGCGCCGTCCTTGCTGGTCGAGGTGGCAGCGACACCAATTTTTAAGTTAAACAATCTCCATAGTAATTTAGTTCTAAGAAGTTTCTTTTCTTGTTGTTATTACCTTTTCCCAGGCTCAAGTTTAGGGCATAACTCTTAGATGTTTACCTGTTAGCCTGAATGGGACAAAATCACTGTAGCAGCAGGCTCCTTATTGGTTCCTGGCCACTTAGCCCAGAAATAATCACACAGAAACTGTATTAATTAAATCACTGCTTGGCCCATTAGCTCTAACTTCTTATTGGCTAACTCTTACATATTAATTTAATCCATTTCTCTTAATCTGTGTATCACCACATGGCTGTGGCTTACCGGCTCCATGGCTTCTCTCTGACTGCGCCTTCTCTCTCCCAGCATTCAGCTTAGTTTTCCTGCCTAGCTCTGTTCCCCTATAGCTCTACTATAGGTCCAAAGCAGTTCCTTTATTTATCAATGGTAATCACAGCATACAGAGGGGAATCTCACATCAAATCATAAGACTTCAAGTGACCTTGAATAGAAAAACAAAAATTTCTGTTTTTCTTTGCTAGTTTAGTCAATATGAATGAGAAGCATTTTCAGAAATTTTATCTGGAAAATTGTTTAAAGGCTCTCTCTGCTCCATTGGGATGGCAAAATAATCACATTTTGTGTTTTTGTTTTGTGTGTGCATGCATGTGTGTGTGTGTGCATTGTCTTTTGCTCTTCAGCTCTTTGAGGGGCCCACCACCCAGCTCCCAAATAAATCACAGTGGAGACTTAATCTTAGTTATGAATGCTCTGCCTTAGCTTGGCTAGTTTCTTGCCAGCTTTTCTTATCTTAAATTATTCCATCCACCTTTTGCCTCTGGGCTTTGTCTTTTTCTTCTGTGTATCTTACTTTCTTCTTACTCTATGGCTAGCCCCTGACATCCTCCTCTCCTTGTTCTCTTGCTCCTTTTTTCTCCCAGATTTCTCCTCCTATTTATTCTCTCTGCCTGCCAGCCCTGCCTGTCCTTGCTCCTGCCTCACTATTGGCCATTCTGCTCTTTATTAGACCATCAGGTGTTTTAGACAGGCACAGTAACACAGCTCCACAGAGTTAAACAAATGCAGCATAAACAAAAGTCACACACCTGAAAATAACATTCTGCAACATGTGTGTGAGAGTGTGGCATATGCAACACATGTAAATTCAGGTGCACAAGCCTATGCATGCACACGGACAAGACTAGGCTAGCTGGTGGCTCCTCCATCACTCTTCACGCATTCCTTTGAAGCACCGTCTCTCTTTGAACCTGACACTTGCCTTTTCTTGGCTAGGCCAGAAGCTAGCAAGCTGGTGATCCTCCTGTCCCTTCCCCTCGTAGACTTGGGTTACAGGAGCGGGCAGGGTGTGTGGACTGTTATGTGAGTCCTCAGATCTGAACTCTGGCCATTGTGATTGTTTTGAAAGCATCATATACCTGCTGAGCCATCTCTCCAGCCTCAATAGGCAAAGTTTTATTCTATAGAGAGAGTAATTGCCCACTGGGATTATCAATCCAATATACAAAGAATAAGAGGAAAAGATTTCTTTTTCATTAGTGCTATGCTCATGGCTAAAACGTCTTTAATGAAGGACAAGATGGTAAAATAAAAGCTGCAGAGCTATTTACTATATGATGGCAAGGGGCATAACTCACTGACAGAGCACTAACCCATTGCGAGCGTGGCCCAGAGTTTGAGCTGCAGTTCCTTCCCCCAGAAAGGTGTATTAGTACCTGTGTATGTACATACCTCTTTCTCTCCCTCCCTCATTCTCTCCCTCTGTGTGTGGGGTGGAGGGGCTCAGCACATGTGTGCACATGAGGAAGTCAGAAGTTAAGATCAGAGTCAAGTTTCTCCCTCCGTTGTCGGCCTCCAGGACCCTCAGGTCATCGGACTTCCACCCAAACATTTTTTACCTCCTGAGCCATCTTGCCAGTCTAGAAAAGGTTCGCTGACATGAGAGTTTTCAGAAATGAAGACACACAAAAACTTACATGTTTTCATGCCTAGAGTGCACAGAAATGTAGAACAACGCAGACAGGAGCTAATGAGTAACCAAACAGGAGCCTTTGAATAATTTGCCTTATCTCTGTACCTTCAAGTACAAGAACATTTCTAGGGAATGGTAAATAACACATTTTAAAAAACAAAACAAAAAAAACGACACCAAGAAACCAGAATATCTAATCTTTAATACTTTATATTAAAATACAGTCTGTTTCTTTTAAATTTAACCTATAACAAGTTCTTAGGACAGGGGCAGACAGCGGTCAGACTCATTGTCAAAATATCACAAGAGTGCTATCTTCTGCAGCCTCTTGAGTTCGCTACAGCCCACACTGTTCTTGGTGCGCAGGCCTCCAGGCTCCTGCCAGGATGACCCATCAAGCTCTCCTGGCAGTGTTCAACCTCTTTCCTAGTCTAAATTTCCAAAATCCTTCTGTTAGTTATTCATGCCAACTCAGGCAGCTGGCGTGGCCTTCTCTGCAGTGCTCAGAGACCCCTTGTAAGCCCTGCCCTGGAGACCTCTGGCCACCAGGCTCTATCCATGGACTACACTGCAGGCTGGGCCTGATTACTCGAGGCATGAGTGGCCAGCTCCCACCCAGGAGCTCCAATGGCTGGGCCCTGAGGAGCTCCAACAGCCAGGTCCCCCCTTCCCCACTTCTCTAATGGCTGTAACAGCTGTTCTCAGCCTGGCAAGGCAGGAGAGTGGCCAGGCCCCTCTGTACAGGAAAAAAAAAATGCCCGAGATCAGGCCACATAATCCCAGATCACCTAGAAAGTTCAGCTCCCCACCCCCCAAGAAACACTATATAAACCCCCTTATAAACATCTTTTCAGTTCTCTGCTGCTTCTCACCAAGCAGAGGCAGCCACTCTGCTGGGGTTTTCCCTCCCAGTAAATCTCTTGTGCGAGGTTTGCTTGCGGTATGACTTTGCGTTAATCCTTGGCTTTTGACTGCCAGGGAACCTTTCCCTCAGAGCTGTGACACTTCCACTGGGGAAGCCTTTTCCCTCAGGGCTGTAATACTTACACCTTCCACACTCCAAAACCAAAACAAACCTGCAAACGTCTGTCACAGCAAAGCCCTTATGTCCCTGTGAGACAGAGGTTGTCTGTGTCTCTCCAAATGTCTCTCCAAAGGTCTGTGTCTCCAGATGTCCAGACTTCAAAACAGAACAACTTACCGCTCAGTCTGAGTTTCAGATGTGCATGGCTGGCAGTCTTACTTTGTTTTGATTCCAATTTGCAAATTTTCGGTGGTCATAGTCTGGCCTCCCAGGGACCTCTTAAGTCAACTTTGGACTTGCTCCCTCAGAGTTATGCTCTAAATTGTGTCACTAAATTGTGACACACTAAATTTGTGTGTCACACTAAAATGTGTGACCACTAAATTGTGTCAGTCATGGCCATGGGCTTCCCTAGGGCCTCTCCCATTCTACAGGCTCCCTAGGTGGAATCTGTCCCAGATTCCAGCCCTGAGTCTGAGGTCTCCCAGGGATCTCAGTAGGACCTCCAGATGCTGTGGGAGAAACTGGACTTAGACTCAATTCAAGTTTAGATTAGATGAATTTATTCTTCTGCTAGCAGAAGGGTGACAACCTTAGAGCCAATACAGCATGCCACGTGGAAAGGGGCTAAAGGTGGGGTTTCTAAGGCGGACCCCAGAAAGGCACGCATTCCAGCTGTCCATGGAACCCGCAGCTGGGCAGGAAGTGTTTTACTCCCCTCCGTTGTTTGCTTTCCCGTTATAAAGTCATAAAAAGACAATCTGACCCCTTTCTCAGGCGCAGCTGTTAATACCTTGCAGCCCATTATCCCATTCCTAACTCATCCGCAGGCCCCTAGAATCTCTAGGCATCCCAGAGCAAAGGTTAGCATCCCATAAAGATGGGAACCTGTGTAAATTACTACTTGGGTGAGCACTCTAATGACTGGGATAGGGCAGTTCATTTCTGGGCAGGCAAAAACACAGTGCCATCAGGTTAGGGCTGACTGTCACACCCCATGATATTAGGGTTCAACATATTTGTAATACTAAACCAGGCCCATTATGTTTGAAGTAGAGCATGCCACGCATGCAAACAATAAGTTGTATAAAAGAGAATATAAGGTGGCCTGTTATAGAATATTATTTTAACTAGACAAAGTAGTGTTAATTTGTTTATGCTGCAGAATATGCTGTGGAATAACCCTTCTGTACATATATTCTATGAATATATGTTGCTATAATTGGTTTAATAAACAAACTGACTGGCCAGTAGCAGAACAAGATAAAGTTAGGAGGGAAAGCCGAATTTATAGGGGCCGTATTATGTAGGCCCATATTTCTACATTGTATGACAGTCAAAATTCTGAGCAACCTGGCGGGGCACAATTTGTACCTGTCACATAGAAGGTGCCACCTAGCCCTCTGATAGTGGGCCAACCTGACACCAGCCAAAGCACGTGGTCAGGATAGGCTAATGTCACTCTGCTCCTTCTATTGTAATTTGGGAGGACATTTGGGAGTTAATTCAGTCTACCAGTCTGTGTGACAGAGCAGGCACACAGAGCAGTCATAGGTAGGAAGACATGATAAAATGGGCAAAGAAAGGTGTGGATGTGACCACAGTCATTTTCCCGGCTACCTAGGATAAAGAATGCTAAAGAATTTCCCCCTCAGTTTACGTTTTGGTATAAAAGCTGTTTGGAGAAGAAACACGGGTGGGTTTTCAGGATGTGAACTCAGGATTTCATGAGGGATCCCTGAAAACTCCCTCCCGATAAAGTCATGTGAGTTGTGTGTCAATTAATCCCATACCTCCACGCTGGTTCAAGAAATAATTTATGTCGGGGCTGGATCTCAACACGAACTGAGAATAATGGAAGGAGGAAGGGTGGAGTCAGAGGAGTCCCCAGGCAGATGCAAAGGGAGCAGGAGATGAACATGCCTGGTTAATAAAGGTACCACCACGTGGCAGGGCATAAATAAGGAATATGGGTTAACTTAAAATGTAAGAGCTAGTTAGTAATGAGCCTGAGCTATTGATCGAGCATTTAGAATTTATATTTAGTTTCCATGTTGGTTATTTGGGAGCAGGTGTTCAGAATAGGAAAATTCTGCCTACAAACATATATGTACATGCTCACATGTATACATGTATCACTTGTTTAACCTCCACAAGCAGAGGCTTGTTAGTAAGCAAGTAACTAAAGAGGAAACAAAGAGCCTCAGGACACCAAGATTTTGTTAATTTTGCTTACTAGCTGGTTCAACCTGCTTTCTTATAGAACCCAGGACCACCAGACCAGGGGTTGTACCACCCACAAAAGGCTGGGCCCTCCCCTCTGGGTACTAAGAAAATGCCCTACAGCTGGCATTCTCAATTGTGGTTCCCTCCTTCCGGGTGACTCTAGCTTGTGTTGGATTGACATAAAACTAGCCAGGACAGTCACTGTCTTTAAAACTGAACTATGAGCCAAAGCATTAACTGAAGAGGCGGCGATGCATGCCACTAATTCCAGTTCTCAGGAGGCAAAAGCTGGATAATCTCTGTGAGTTTGAGGCCAGCTTCCTCTACATAGCAAGTTCCAGGCCAGCCAGAGCCACACAGAGAGGTCCTGTCTCAAAAAACAAACAAACAAACAAACAAACAAACCAAAAACAAATAAAAAAACCCCAAAAACCAAAACAATGACGCAAAACAACCACCACAACCACCATCAAAATCCCAAACTTAACAGAAAGCATACATTTTAATAAGGGGCTGCTTTTTTAAAAACTTTAATCATTGTATCACATGCATCTGAATCTTTCACAAGCACATGTTATGTTAGTAAAATACTGCATTGACTAAAAACTTATTCAGTAAAGTGACCTATAAACCATGAATGCCCCAAACATGAATTTAATGTTATCCGGCAGAAAACTGATCCACGTGAAGTTACTGAACATCAAAGTGTGACCTTGAACCTACCATGTCTACTAACAGACAAACGCACTACAATCTAGAGGAAGCTCTGCCCTGGGTACTCTCCAGGTGTCTGCCAAAGAAGGTCAGAATCTGCTTCCACACATCTATCTGGGCTTTGGAGTGAGCCCTGACCTCCCCTCCCCAGTGCACAGCTCTGTTCACTAATTTGTGCAGAGAAGCTGGGCACACGGGGAAGTAAGGAGGCTCAATGTAATGGCCAGCCCCAGGGTAGGAGATTACCTGCGGTCTCTCCTTTCCGCGAGCCTGCAGCCGTTCCGAGGCTATCAGAGCGTACAGCTCGCTCCTCCAGCAATGATCGTCCTGTCCAGCGACGAAAAGAATGGGCCCCTTGGCCTGCTCTATCGGGATCATACTGGGGTTCTCACAGCCTCCCACAAGATCGTTCCGTATATCCACAATGTCCAGAATGCCAGAGAAAGCAACCTTCGCTCTCCTCAGGTCATGGCCCAGTGGTGGTATCAGGGTCTGCTGGTAGTGTATGTGATGGTTTCCGCTGAATGCAGAGCCATTGATGGAAACGGTGGCTGAGACATTCTTCAAGAATGACGCCATGGTGAGACAGATATTAGCTCCCAGAGAAAGACCCAGAAGTCCAACGTCTGGGCCCTTTACCTAGGGAAAAAAAAAGAAGAAAATATAAGAGTCAGAAATGTATCTACTTAAGTATGATGAAAATGTCTAGGATCTCAGCACTGTAAAGTAGAGGCAGGAGGATCAGGAGTCCGAAGTCAGTCAGCTACATAGAGAGTTCAAGACCTGAGGGGATGCCTTGGAGGGTAGAGGTACTTGCTGCCAAATCTGACGGCCCAAGTTAAATCCCGGGACTACAAGGTGGAAGACGAGAACTGACTCTTCCAAGTGATCCTCGTTCTACCTGTGTGCTGTGGAACATGCACACCCCAAAAAATATTACTAAAAAAGAACTTACCAAGCACCCTAAAATGCAACTAGAAAGGCTGGAGAGATGGCTCAGTGGTCAAGCATACTGGTTGTTCTTCCAGAAGATTTTGGTCTGATTCCCAGCACCCACATGGCAGCTAACAACTGTCTGTGGCTCCAGTTCCAGGGGATCCATTGCCCTCTCCCGGCCTCTGGGATCACCACATGCATGTGGTGACAGACACAAAAGCAGGCAATACACCCACACACATAAAATAAAAACAAAGTTTTTACTGCAGCTGGAAAGGCTGCTAGCTCCACTCTCTACATCAGCTCACAGGGAACCTCTTTTTCTTTTTAAGATACTATTCCTTTCTAAGATAGATTTTTGTTATACGTCTAGGCTGTTAAATTCTCAATCTTCCTGCCTCAGTCTCCTGAGTGCTAGGAATACAGTAGGTGCCACCATGAGGGCACAGGGTCTTTATAAATATTGAATATCTGCTGAACCATGGCAAACAAGCCTACACAGTCACGTTGAAGAATTGGCTATAAATGCTGAGACATGGGAGCCTGTCAAGTCTAAGACTTCATTCACAGTGAGTCTGAACCAAGCCTTTATTTGGCTGTGTATTGAGTCGTGGATGAAACAATGACATTTTGGCCCAAGATTTGAATCTTTTGTCCAACTAATACTGGAAAAAAATTAATTTCATGAACTTCAAAGTCCAACTAGAAGTTCTTAACCTCTGAAAAGGGTGGGCAAGTTGGGACTAAATTTGAGAGGAAAATGAAAGGTTATAACAATGAGAAGCCTAATCTTCATGTCAAGAGGGATTTTACTATTATGAAATGAAACTTCCCATGATTCTTATGAAGAATTCCACACCAGGAAGCTATGGAGAAAGGGGAAATGTTGATGCTCAAAGTCAAGGAAGTCTCCCAAAGACACTTCGACCATGAACAAAGAACAGAGAGTCATCGGCACCCCTGAAGCAGGCAACCACCTCTGCAGATATTCCCAGGGAGCCTGGCTAAATGGGGGCAAGAGGAGAACCTTGGGGTGTTGGAGCATGTAGCACACTGCTTCCTCGAAGTAGTCCACTTCCATGATGTTGAAATCCTTAGGGAGATCTTCAAAGTCATAAAAAGCCAGAGCCAGTGTAGCAAATCCATGGCTAGCCATAAGGCTGGCTCGGTATTCCAACAGGCCCCCGCCAGCACCGTAGACATCGATGATCCCTGGAAAGGGTCCTTCTCCTACAGAGGGGGAAATGACAGGGCAAAATCATCGCACAATGCAAAGAATGTGTTTCTCTTTTGAAAACCTTTCTAAATTGTTTTTAGTTGGTTTCTGTGGATCCAATAAAACAGATCCTCATGTCACTACTACAACACACACAAGAGCTTTAGAATTAGAAAAATCTAAGTTTCATGGATGGCTTCATCCTCTTATGGATCCCAAACTTTGGTCCAAGAACCACAAGATAGTTATGAGTATAGCCCAACACAAAATCATAAATTTCCACGGAACACTGAAAGGTGTGGTTTGTGTGTGTGTGTTTTGTTTGTAAATCAATTGCACAGTTTTAGGGGATTAATGCTATAAATAACACCATTCCAGAGGCTGATTCTGTGATAAGCTATTTGCACACTTCTACAAATGGGTTGTTGTTGGAGTGGAAAGTGGTTAAACCTTTGGGTAAAGAGTATGTATTGGAAGGAAGACTGGCAAGGTTTAGATTGTCCACTCCTAGTGTTCTGTTGGAGGGCTGCAGAGAACGGGAAGTGGGGGCTGGAGAGATGGCACAGTGGTTGTGAGAGCTCCCTGTGCTCTCAGAGGACAGGAGTTCATTTCCCAGGGCCCAGGACTGGGGCTCACAAGCAGCTGTAACTTCAGCTCATGGGGATCTGACTCCCTCTTCTGACCACCCATGAGCATAGCACACACAAAGCATACACACTTGTCCTGTGGCATTAACACTTGAGAGTCAGACAGAGAGAGAGAGAGAGAGAGAGAGACAGAGACAGAGACAGAGACAGAGACAGAGAAACACACACACACACACACACAAACACACACACACACACACACACAGAGAGAGAGAGAGAGAGAGAGAGAGAGAGAACGTCTACTGACAGAAAAAAAGAGCTGATTCTTGGTAAGGAAGGCACTGAAGTTTGAAGTGTGATCTGCTGTGGAGCTGGACATGAAGAAGTGACTGCGTGGATCAAGGACAAGAGAGAAAGGCAATGTGGCAGTCTCCTTCCTTGTCTATTATTTTTCCTAACCATGCTACCTGGGGAGATCTGTGGGGTAGTGAACTGTACCAAATCTGGCCGCCGCTGGAGACACAGGCCTGGCGCTCGCGCCCCACTACACCCGACTCACCCACCTGGAGGCAGGAAGAGCGTGGCGCGCACACGACCCTCGCGCACGGGCACGCGGCGCACCCCGGGAGCCATGAAGTGACGCTCGTGCACCGCCCGCGCCAGCAGCCGCCCGCCGTCGGGCTCGTGGCCGTCCAGCACCTCCAGCTCCACCACGAAGGGCGTCTGCACGTCGCGCTTGATCAAGCGCCAGAAGGGCCGATCGGGCTCCATGGCCCAGAGCAGCCCCATGGGCTCGAGCCCCGCGAAGCTGCCGCCCAGCGCGGGCGCGCGCGCCAAGTCCAGCTCGCCGTGGGAGTCGGCGCAGTAGCGCGCGTGGGCGCGGAAGAGAACGCCTTTCTCGTCGCGCAGGGCGGCGCGTAGCGTGACGGGCTGTTCGGGGGCCAGACCGCGCACGGCGATGCTTAGTGGCTCGTCCCAGCAGCTGCGGACCGCGGGCTCCAGGCTCAGCGTCGCCGCCATGGGGAGCTTGGAACTGGAGCTGGAAGCCTTGGAGAGTGCGCGAATCTGGAGAGTAGCCTGGCCTGCTGTGGAGCTGCTCTGGTTGGTCTCTAGGGCCCAGACAAAGGAGGGACAGGAACAAAGATCTGTCAACAGTTTGGTTCACAGGAGGCCAGAGGATTCTGCTTTTCGCCACTCCCACGTGGTGTTGTGAAAATGACTGGTGATGACACCAAGTGAATGAATCAAGGCAAAGTCCGATCCTTCCGTGGATTCAGCAGCTTTCTAAAATATAAAACAAAACCAACAGCAAGAACTTTGTAATAAATTATAACCTTATACCATTTCAGTCTTCAGATTCTGAGCTTGCCCAAACCCTCCATGGATGCTCCAGCCCCCAGTAGAGAAAGCATGCAAACTGAGAAAGACCTCTCGCTGTATCCGTCAGGGTTCTCCAAATGAGTAGAACTGAAGGGATGGACACACAGAGGATGTATTAGATTGACTTACAAGTTGTGTTCGAGTAGTCCAACAATGGCTGTCTCCCACGGAAAGGTCAAGGATCTGGTAGTTGTTCAGTCCACAAGATTGGATGTCTCAGCCATCCCAGTCCGGTGCTGGAGTCCCAGGGAAGCTCTAGATAGAGCGGCCATTTCAGTCCACGGTAGAATCCTGAAGAAGCTGGTTCTAACTCCAGTGAAGGAATGGCTCAGGGACAGGATAGATAAACTGGCCAGTGAGAGTGAGGACCAGCAGCCAAAAAGCAAAAGCTCCTTCTCCCATGTCCTTTTATGTGGGCTGCCACCAGAGGGTGTGGCCCAGATTTAGGGTGCGTCTCCCACATCAAATATTCCAAATAAGAAAAATCCCTCACAGGTATGCCCAGTTGCTTGGGGTTTTGTTGATTCCGGATACAGTCACATTGACAGCCAAGATTAGCCCAACAGCTGCTTTCTCTCCCCTTGCCCCAATGCCCAGTTACAAGGACACACAAATGGCTCTGGTCCAGGAGGGAGAAGCACTGAGGTGAGTGCCTGGACCCACCTTTGCTAAGGGATACTATTCAGAGTGACTTGGGAGATCTAGGGACCAAGCAGGTGTCAAGGGAGCCATAGGAAGTTCTCTGAGGTCAAGTTGGCTTCTCCCAAAGTCCAGTGACCTGATAAAATGGTGCAGCTTAATATTCAGATGTTTGGGGCTGGAGAGATGGCTCAGTGGTTAAGAGCTCTGCCTGCTCTTCCGAAGGTCCTGAGTTCAATTCCCAGCAACCACGTGGTGGCTCACAACCATCTCTAATGAGATTTGGTGACCTCTTCTGGCCTGCTGCAGGCAGAGCACTGTATACATAATAAATAAGTAAATAAATAAAATTTAAAAAAAGATTCAGATGGTTGATGAGTGAGTTGTGGAGCGATCTGGCTTGGGTTTAGGACTCTTGTGGACATCCCACTAGACACTTTCAAATTGAAACATCCTGAAGCGGAAGTGCAAAGGTAAGCCCCTGGCTGCCCACTGAGGCAACGTCCCGCCCATGTGGAAAATGTATTGGGAGTGAAATGAATGTCTGCCTAGGTAACGTCAATGAAGGGTTAAAGGGAAATGGTGGGAACCATTGCTTCTCACAAGCAGTGTGCTGGGCACTCACAGACCAAACTAAGTGTCAAAATGGTTCTCTGCATTGAGATCCCATCAGACTAAACTGAATTGTTTCTTGAGAAACTGGAGAGATGGCCACCAGAGTCCCTAAACGGGAAGCAGGTGGCATTCCAATGAAATTCATGTGCTTTCTCCTTACACAGTTAATCCTATTATCTTTTCAGTAAGTAACCTGGAGTTAAGCATTCTGGTACTTTTTCTTCTGTCTCCCTGACTCTACCTAAGAAAATATTTAAAAATAACAAATCCTGTTCTCATTCTTTAGTTTTGCTTTTACTAGACTACCTATGAGAACCCGCCTCTTCTCCCCAGCTGACGGGAAGGAACACAGTAAAGAACGAAGGGTGCCCTGGTTCTAGAGAGTAAAGCTAATTTAAGTCTTTCAATTGATATAAGCTGTTCTGTGGCAAAAAGGCTACTATCGGAGTGATTCTGATTGCTCTTATATACGCACAATGTTGTGCTACCCCTCGCGTGTTTATGGCGGGCACATGTGTGTATGTCCATACATGTGCTCCACTTTACCGAGGTTTCCTCACTGAACCTGAGGTCTGGACAGCATCCTCAGGGATCGCCTGTTTTTGCCTCTGGAGTTCTGGGATTGCAGGTGGTCCGACAGCTCACTGGGCCCTCCACGAGTGCTAGGCCTCCGAATTCCAATCCTCACGCCCTCACTGCAGGGCTCGATCCAGCCCTGTCAGCCATTTTTTCAGTCAAGACCGTTAACTTTTCCGTAACTCTGAGATAACTCTACGGTATTCAGATTTTCTGATAAGCCAATGGAGAGTAAAGAGGAGGGGCTAGAGAAGGGCCCAGGCCTTATCCTGCCTCATAAACCTGTAGCATGAACGACACAGGAGAGCTCAGCGGGGCTCCTTTTTAGCAGCCTGTGTATTGCACTTCAGTAAATGCTTTCCTCTCAAAGAGACTCACCGTCAGTTCTCTGTCAGTGGTAATTCCGGGTGTGGGATTGTCCTGAGGTGTGGAAGACCTTAGTGTTGTGAGAAGTCTGATGAGAGTCAGAGAGATCTCTACCATGTATGCAAGATTTGCGAGGCTGAAAAATATTGTCAAAATAAAGGGGTGACAAGAACAGGAAGACATGATCATCTCTAAGAGAGGTGACTGCACCCTAGAGGGCGCTGAAACTTGTAGGATTAGTGTGAGCCTTCCTCCTCTGTACCCTCAAAGACAACTCTTAGAAGGATGGGGGTTTCTAGATCCAAGCCACTGGACATACAGTGGGGGTACATTTATTATTTGAGTCTTTTCCTCTGAGGCTCTGCTAATCTCAACAGTGAGAATAAGGCCATTACCACAATTTTAGTCAAATTTGAAGCAAGCTTGATTTTTTTTTTTATTGGATTGCCCCTAAGAGCTGGCCCGTGATTGCCTACTAAGTCGGGTTAAAGAGAACAGCCCCGAATTCATTTCTTGGGCCCTTTTTAAGGAGTAAGATCACAAGTAAGTAAGATCACGAGTAGTTTTACAGAAGAGAGACAATGAGGCAATCAGAAAATGCAGAAAAATCTTTTAAAAAATATGTGGTCACCATGTGGTTAGGGAGGGTAAGGTTATTCTCAAAATCAAGTCAAGGTCTTGGGATGGGCAAGGTCAGGTTCCAGGAAAGAGGGCGACTCAACTCTTGCAATAAATAGAAACTTACCTTTAATACAACATAATGGCATGTATCCTTCAAAATGGAGTCAGGCTGGTCCTCAGCTCCTCATCAAACTTAGGACTGGAGAGGGAGGGGGAAGGAGAGGGGGGAGACTGAAAGGGAAATGGGAGGAGGGGAGGAGGTGGAAATTTTTAATAAATAAATAATTTTTTTTTTTAAAAAGGAGTCAAGCAGGTCCCTCAGCTCCTCATCAAAATGGAGTCAGGCAGATCCTTAGCTCCTCATCCTCATTTTTGTTGCTTTTTTGTTTGTTTGTTTGTTTTTTGTTTTTTTGTTTTGGTTTTTCTACAGCGAAACAGTGTTTCTCTGTGTAGTACTGGATGTCTAGGAACTGGACCTGTAGACCAGGCTGGCCTTGAACTCACAGAGGCTCGCCTGCTTCTGCCTCGAGTGGCTACTGGGATTAAAGGTGTGCGCCACCACTGCCAGGCTTCTTGTTTTATTTCTTTGTGGTGTTGGAGCTTGAACCTATGGCCTCAAGTATGCTAGGCAAGGCTCTACCACTGAGTCATCCAACCCTCACACTTATTCTTTAAAGGAGATACACGAATCAGGTTTGCTTGCCTGTGACAAACCACCTGAGCTACACAGTTTATTAATATAGCCAAGTGGTGATGGTGCACGCCTTTAATCCCAGCACTCAGGAGGCAGAGTCAGGTGGATCTCTATGAGTTAGAGGCCAGACTTGTCTACAGAGCTAATTCCAGGACAGCTACACAGAGAAACCCTGTCTTGAAAAACCAAACATAAAAATAAAAAACATCAAACACAATAGCAAGGTTGCCTCTGTGAAGGACAATTAATTAAAATAGAAGTTTTCAAAAAAACCAAACCAAAACAAAACACTGGCAGTCTGGGCACAAAAGTCTTGTCATTATCCTAATGGGACCCTCTGACTCACTTTCCAGAACCTTGATCTTTAACTCACCTAGTTGAGAGCTTGCCAAGACCTTTGGCCCTGTTTCGGCCGTTACACAGGTTAAGAGAGTAAATGTTTCACGGACCATTGATTACTTATGCAATTTTATTGGATAGCCAATAAACATTGCTACACAGCTTGACCACAAATCTGTTATATAATCAGAACAAAGCACTGACATAAAAATGTTCTATTTGCTGGATTATCTATCTTGTCTATGTGTCTCCGTGTCTACAAAATCCTGTAATCTAGGGTCATAAAAATCCCCATATTCATCATGCACAGGAACAGAGTGTCTAATCTGTAATATCACGTTCAAGGGCTTGGAGCGTGAATCAACAGTAGAACCCAAGCTAGCAAGTACAAAGTTCTGAGTTCTGTCCCCGGGACTACAAATTAGTAATGAACATAATAAATGTCTTTGAAACTTTTGATGAAGCATCCTGATTCCATCTTAGGGTAAAAAGCCACGTTGTTAAAAGGTCAAAATACGCTGTTTCTATTTGCTACAAAATTCAAGTTTGAGGCACTGGGACTCTACCCTGAGGCCATAAGGAGTTCTGACCAGAAACCTTGACACATTCTGCCAAGATGATCTGTCGAATAATCTAATGGCTATGCGCTGCTGTAAAAATTAGCTTGCAAAATCTTTATGTTACAAAATCCCCAGTTTATACTTGTTCCCTATAAAAGGAGGCCTGTACTCTCAAATCCCGCTTCGGAGAGACAGTCCTATGCATAGCAAATAAAACTTACTTAATTGGTTTTGATTTGGGTGGTTGTTCCTGTTCTCTCTCAGTAGAATCAGCACTATACCACACCCAAGTTCTGCAAGACCCTCTGCTCTCGACTTCAGACAGGCCCCTGTGTCCTGCCTTTCTCCTGAAATGCTTCGTTAAAATAGGATAATTGCATATTCCCTGTGATTTCTGAGTATTTAATATTTTTCTTAAAAGTTGAAATGTTGTGGAACATTTCAAGGTAAAATTCAAAAAGCCCATCCACGCCCTCGCCGTAGTTCTAGGAA